TTTGGTCCCAGGGTAATGACTGGTATGTTGACTTTCAATACCCCAGTTGTCTTTTGGATAATAAACTGTGGCTGTTCTAATTCTGAACACCATAACAAGCAGAATATTGCAATAAAAGGCAGTGAGGAAGTATTTTAAAACTTTAAGCAGGAAGACACCATAATTAGATGTAGGTTTTGGAAAGAAAACTCCTTGCAGTGAAACAACAGATTTTAGGGAAGTGATTCAGTGGGTAAAGAGAGAATTTAGGTGGTTACTGCCACAGGCCAGCTGAAAGACGACGAGCACTACATGAGAATATGAAGCATAAAGTAGATGGGACTGATTCATGTGTTTTTAAAAGCAACAGGACATGGAGACCAGGTGATTGTAGACAGGAAGAAAGGGAGTCCAGAACGACCTAAACCAACAATCTCTGACAATAAACTAACTGCCTTAGTAATCTCTGACGAGCTCTCTCCAGATTATTACAATTTATGTGTATAGCTCAAAAGTATCCAACATGTCACTGTTTAAATTCTAAAGTTTTCCTCTTGGTCCCTTTGGCCGATTTGCCATTAAAACCTTTCACCTTAGTTTTCTAATATTTAATAATTAGGCATTCTCTTTTCCCCTTGCCAACACCTTAGTCATTTTCCTTATCATCTGGTATCTGGTTATTAGCAATCACCCTATTAACTGGTTTTTCTACCCAAATATCTCTTCACTTTCCACGAAATAATGCTTTTTTTATCTAATGCTATTCTGGTCCTAGAACATTACTTTCATAGTGTTCAAAGAATGTATTCTTCAGACCTGTGATATTCTATCCCGGATCACCATCTAAGCATGGAAGACTTTCTATTATCCCGAGAGATCTTCCCTGGTTTTAGCAACTGCATGAAAACCTGGTCGAGTGAGTTTGACACAGGAGTTTGCTCACCCTTTCTGGGGTTGGTTGCCTTTATCTGTGATATACTACGGATCTCCTTCTCAGTCAGAGTTAGCTACTGAAGCAGAAGCGGTAAGAGAGCTCTGCGGGAAAACAGATGAGTTAAAATTCTGACTCCACAAAGTGCTATTTATAAACAGTGGCAAAGTTACTTAACCTCACTTAATGATGTCTGCAGAATAGGTATCGTAAGTATATTATCATGGTGTTATGAGAATTGAAAGAAATAATCAACATCAATTGCTTAACATTATGTCTGGCCCATGGTAAACATTGAACAGGTAGAAATTTTATGATTAATGTAAATAATAATAATGTAATACCAATAATATTATAATTAATATTTAGGTCTTTTCATAGGTTGACTCACCCTTGTTAATATATCTTTCTGTACAATCCAGGCCATTCATTGCTCAGCTCATGTATTATAATACTTAATTACAGTCAATTTAGGACTTGATTAACTGTTGTTAATTGAATTTCATATACAAAATTTTTATTTCATAACAAGAATGTGAATTATCTTGATGGGACGGTCTAAAAAATGTATTTTTCTTTTCTAGTCCATATAATCTAATATGGTAGAAGTTTAAGAAAAGCTCTTAGAACTAAACTTAAAATGTATTTATTCTTCCTCCTATTCTGACTTTGATAAATGATTAGTTGGCTAGCCAGGAGGAGCACGTGCATATGAAGGCACGACTGGATGGTAAGAAGTGTAGGTACGCACTGCATTTCTAAGTGAGCATACACACATTTTAAAGAGGACTGTAGACTTTGACCCCAATAATTGACTAAGGGTGGACGCTGAAGGCATGTAGGTGAGGGAAACTGGGGTAAGATAAGTGGGCGTATCTTCTGCTCTTTAACCTACAACAGGCCTACTATCTGCTTCTGACTCATCAACATAAATGGAAAACTAAGTATTTCAGTCCAAATTCTATCATGTGTGAAAATCACCTGGAGTGCTGGTTAAAATTGGGGTTCCCGGGCCTCATCTCAAAGATTCTGACTCAGTAGAGAATCTGCATTTCTAACAAGCTCCCACATGATTGCTGATGCTGCTGGTCCTGAATGCATGCTGAGAGGCATGACTTTAATCCCGAAAGAAGTTAACTCTAGAAGAGTAACTAATTCTTTCTTTCTATTTAAATAGAGAGAAAATAGGTCACAGAAAGGTGATGCAGTAAAATCTTAAATGAAATAAAGCTAGAATGCTACCTCACCTCACTCGAAAAAATAAAAACGAATGGGATACAAAACTCTAAATAGAAACATGATGTCAAAGAAATATACTTGGAGGAATACGCAGAAAAAATATTTGGAAAGAAGTACACTAAAACAGCAACAGTGGTTATCTTTGTGTAGTAAGATTATGATTTAAAACTTTTCATAGTTTTCTGTATTTTTCGCATGACTTTATAATGTGCATAAGTTACGTTATAATTAAAAATACTCTTGCAAAACATGTATCTAGAACAATGGCACTGTGGTAAAATATTTGGCAAGGACGGCTGTAACACAGTGAAATCGCATTTGTTTTATAACTGAATAAGGAATTAAGAGATTTCCATTCAAATCTCCTTTCCGTCATTTACTACCTGAAAAATCCCTTTAACTTCATTTTCGCAACTGTAAAATGGAGGCAACCATAGCTCCTTCACAAGGTATTGTGAAGATGAAATGAAATCATACATAGCTTCTCCCTCTTTGCCACCATGAAATAAGGTCTAAATTCTGACAGTCAGTTTTAAATTCTTGAGAATTTAAAACCAACAATTTAGCATGTTAATGAATCTTTACTGGTTAAACTATGATTTAAAACAAAACAAATGTCTTCTCGATGAAATAGTTACTCTTGGCCCGCTGTGTGCGAGGTTGGAGGATGGGTGCTCTGCATACTGCAAAGCACAGCCCTCTAGAGCCCCGCTGATACTGGGTGCTGAGGCGGCTCTCCTCACCCGTTTCTACGTCCTACGCTTGTGGTGTCCATCCTGTTATTACTGTCAAAAGCACACGGTCGCTAGGAGCGGCCGAAGCTGAAACATGTTAGAAAATTAATTACAAGTTGAAAACGAACTCATACAGAAGGCTGTCCTGGGAACGCCACAACCAGTCTCCCCTAACTGCACAGAAAGGGAATAGCTCACCCCCAGTAAGCTGATGTAAAAGTGGAAAGAAGCATAACTTTATAGTTCATTTGCTAATAAATGCTGTAGCACCCCATGTGAGCATCAACAGTTTGAACATCCTTACTTTCCTGGTATCTTACATCCAAGGTGACCACATACTTACTATAGACTTGTACAGACCAGGTGACAAGATGCTGAAAAGGAGATTTGTTTACTGGAGACTCTACCCCTGAATTAATAGAGAGGCCTTTTAATGGCAAATGTGGACATATCAGAAAAAGCGAAGCAGTAGTTCTCAGCCCTTGAAATGGTCCTGGGAATATCTGGGTTGCTGGTACTCAGAATAGGATAATCTGAGGCCCTCCTTACTTTGATCTCTATAATCACGAAGCCACCTTCTGATCTCAATCTGCTTTAAAAAATGTTCCCCCATTGGGAAGAGATATTCCTCATTTGAAACTATGAAACTGACTTTCTGATCTCGATCAGGCTCTGGCGCATTTGGTTGGAGAAACTAGCTTTCTCGGAATCTCATTACTTCTTCAAGTAACTGCTGAGGCACAGCCAAGCTGGAAACCCACATAGACAGCATGGCCTTGAGACCCTCCCCCGTGAAAG